GGGCCTTTCAGAGATAGAACTCACTGAGATCCTAGTATCATGCTTAACCCTCACACTACGGGTCTTCCTATGGTCAGGGGTGTCAAAGACCATGTCATAATGTTTGTAGACTTACATTTAAAATTTAATTGAACTACTATTTTATGAATGCATATCAATAAGTTTTATATCAAATTGTAGATTATAATTAAAATTTTAGTATTATACATTAACTAATTTCTTAATTGAAAAGTAAATATATAAAAAGAATTCCTAAATATCAATTTGTGTGTTTCATTTGCTATGTCAAATGCAGCTTTGGTTCAAATTAGAAGTTTGAGATATACAAATACAAAGTCTATAGTTTCTTACGAATTAAAAACTCAAATTACTGATATTGACAAGCTAGAATATAAAATAAAAACCTACTATTTTTTCTATTTGCCGAGATATCACCATATTTAGCAAATCAACAAAGTGGTTCTGCCCACTTCTTCCATTTTTAGAAATACTTCCTTACATACACCCGCTTCATTCTCTCGTAGCTTTATAACTAATCAAAAGCTCAAAATTTACCCCACGTGGTTTTCTCAGGCTCTTGGATTTGGAAAGTTCACAAGATTACTTCTTTTGTGTGTTACCTCAGAAGGAAGGGGAAAGTGAAAATGTTGTTTGAAATATCATATATTTTTTAGACCCAAATACAGTTTAATTACTAAGCCTGATAAATTATAGTGGAATTCTGTGGTATTGAAGAGCTAATTTATGATTTTTTGTTATTTCAAAATGCACGTATATATATATATATAAAACCTAAAAAAATTATTTTTTTCACATCCTCCATGTGCAAAAGTTAACAAGGCTTAACAACTTATGGCAAGTAAGTAAAAACTCTGCCAGTAGCAGAGATCAGTTTCCTATATTTCTTTATTTACTGTTCTATAGTTTAAGAAAAATAACAGAAATTTAAGAACTTATCTTGTAAGTAGTAATAATATTTATACACATATGTAATGTATTATAACTGAAATATGATTGTACTTTACAAAATCGTGGTCCACTAGAACAAAGCCAAGGACACTTTGTAAAAGCCAGTTATATAACAATTGGATATGGTAACATGAGTGCATGTGTGTCACATAATTGGAACTTCTGCAATGTTAGTCAGACACAACTGAAATTGTGAGATTTCAGCTATTAGGCTAAACATTTGTGTTTTCTTGTTATAATCTGTAGTTATTACAGAACAACAAAAGCATAATTTATATTTCCTGAATTTTTATGATGATTACGAGGTTGGTCAAATCGACCAATGCCATGCAGAGATATAGTAGTGAAAATAACAGAGAAAATACAAAGGCTTTTCTAAAATAAAGGTTGATAATTATCTAGAGGTTCCAGAGATTTCTCATGTGAAATTTGACAATTTCTGATGTATAAAAGTATTTATAATCTTCAGATCAAAATTACTTTGCCTGTTGGATAGCCAACATTCAAAAAGAAAAAAGGCACACACAAATCATTATTTAAAAAATTTTAAACCTAATAAAAAAATCTGATATTTTGTGTACGAAATCCTTATAATCTTTACTGATAATCTGCTAAATTTTGCATACTGTATTACAAGTTATAGTATGAAAACTATAACAAGCAAAATGGTTATGAGGTTGGTCCAAGAAGCCTGTAGTGAGAGAGTTAATCTAAGTCCTAAGACAACTGTACATGAATATTGAGTAGTATCAATGTCACTATATTGACAAAGCAGAAAAAAGTGTACACCCTACCCTGACAAAACAACTTGCACATGCTTAAATACTAAGTATTTATTTTACATGACCTTAATATGTTACAACAAAAGTAAACTTTCATTGTTTAAATATTCAACTTCTACACAGGATTGAGTATATTAAAACAATTTTAGACCTCACCACAGTATTACAGTCCATGTTCACCAAATTCAGTCATGCTCTACCTAACAATCAAGCATCTTAACAATATCCCTGAAGCATAATTTCAACTGAAAAAGGATTTGTTTTAAGGCTGTCATGTCAAAAGCACATCCTCCTTACTTATCTGTCCTTGGTAAGCCCATATCCTGTAGGCCTCAAGTCCAGATGGAGATCATTCTTGATTATATTGTGTACTGTTGCCTGGGCAAGTGGATAGCTTCTGCCATCAACTTTTGTATTTGTGGATTCTCACCGATTACACAATGCCACATTTTACTTACCATAGCTTGAGTGTGAGTTTCTGCAGGTCTCTTTGAACATAGTCCTGGTTCCCCAGATTAATCCATATTCTTTTGTTTCTTTGATATTTTAAATCCACAATCTGAACAGATCTTTATGATCTGAATGTGTGAATATTTTGCATTGAAAATGGCTGTTACATACCCTTCACAAAATTGATCCATTTTCAGAGCCATCACACTACTTAGAAAATGCCAAACAATGTCAAAATGTAATTCTAATAGATGTCATTTCACCATGACATTCTATTGTCTATGGTTGTCAAGTGACTTGCTAATTTGCATATTTAAAAATTATTACAGCATATTAAACCCTATTATGTTATGATGAATAAAACTGAATTTTTTCTGTTATATTTGAGAAAGATATTAAAAGCACAAAAAAAACCCAACATTTACCAGAAAACTCGTCTAAATTTACCATCACCTTTAATAGATAACCAGCTAATGTCAGTATAACTTGTTTAGATTTACCAGTCTGCCTCTGATGGAGTACATATTAATCTGTTCCAATTAAATAATAAAAATATTTTTCTTCCCACTTCTAAATTGGAATTCCTATTTTACAAACTTATGTATAATGTAGCAGTTTTTAGAACTGGGGAAGTTTAATTATAAATAGTTTGACATATTAGGTTATACAACAAGCAATTCTTAGAATAAGATTCTGTATCATGCATTTGGTTGGGGGCATTAATAAAATTTTGTTATAATTCGACCCAGGTGTACTTTACTGCACATGACACAGTTTTAGTGTCTTACATTCAAAGTTTTTATACTACTATTTGTTTATGTTATATCAATTAGAATAGCATAAAATCTTAGCTAATAATCCATATTTTAATAGTATATAAGTCTTAAGTTCTTAATTCTACAAGGAAATATATAAAAAAATCCAGAATTTCCACTATTGCGACACACGTGACACATTTTATCTTAGCATGTCATCATCTCTATTTTATCCATCATCCCTTGAAAATGTACAAAATTAAATGTAAAATTCTCTCTATAAAATCATTACTACTCAAACAGACCATTAGTTTTATAGCCTTCAATTTTGTTTGGTTATAGAGCTATTGAACAGAAAATCAGACCAAGACCCCTCCTGCCACACACCAAATTGTCACATTCTCTCTTCTACAATTCGTTGTTAGTTCTCTCTTACGTTTCATTATATACTACCTATAACCAGTAGAAGGTCAAGGTTTTCATCTATCAAATGGAGTATTGTATAATGTTGTGTTCTGAACAGATAACTCAATTTCACTCGAACTAGCAACATCGTTCCCATGGGAAACTTAACGACTAGTTTGGATGAATTTGTAACAGCTTTTGTCACATAGTTAGAAAGCCAGGAAAATTTTTAGAAGTAAGTGAATTTGTCTACTTTTTGCATGTTATTAGTCTAAATTCTTTGGTATATTACTTAATTAAATAAAAATTGTTAAGTACTCTACCATAACCACTAAAAATAATCAGGCTTAACTCTCCTCGACTATCGAGGGGCAAGTAAAAAAAAGATTGGGTAAGAACTTTATTTCTCATATTTATTCTTTATTTATTATTATAAAAGTAACTAAAATTAAAAGTACATCTCTTTTTAAGTTATTTAAGAGTAGATTAGGTAAAATAAGTAATAATAATAACATAATTAAAATGGTTCACGAGGCATGCACTTGAGCAGCTCATGGGTAATGTAATTCGATAGCATAACATGAGCTGCACATTCCCCGAGTGATTTACAACTTATAATGGCAGGGATAGCAGTTAGACACAGTTCAAAGAGCAATAAAAAGAGACAATAAAACAATAAAATTTAATTATAAATAGATGTATAATGTTATGAACTAAGAACTACTTAGGATAAACGAATGTAGTTTCAGGTTACAATTTGAAGTCTTTCTAGAAAGAAGGTTAATTTAGGTTTTTTTTATTTTTGTTTTGGTGGTTACGAGGTTGATCAAATGGACCGATCTCATTTTGGGATAGGGTAGAGAAAATAACATAATAACTATAAGGATTTAGTAAAAAAAAAAATGGTTGAAATGCATTTAGCAGGTTTTTGAGATTACACAAAGGAGATTTGAGATTTTTTAGATGACAAAAAGTATTTTTAATTTTAACATGAAAATTACCTTGCACATGGATTATTCAAAACAAATACTCAATATATTCATGGACAAAACTTTATTTTATTAGAAATACTTCACTAAGACATATGACTTTTTGCATGTGAAAGACTTGTAATATTAACTGAAAGACTGACAAATTTCGTGAAGATATACCCAATATATATATAGAGCTATAAGTATTAAATTTATATCAACTTTAAAAAAGTACAAAATACCATGTGACTCAGTCAAAATGACCGACCCTGTGTTGGAAGAGTTAAGCAAAATCATATGAGATGTAATTATCTCTAACAGTAAGGTACCATACTGATTAATCAATACATTTAACTCACTGTAAGTTCTTTGTTTTAGTACGTTGCACACACTTAATTAGAAAGATATATTAAATGAGTTATATTAATTAATGAATTAAGTTTTAGTTCTGATCTATGTAGGTAGACTGCATTGACCAGAATTTAATGATAATGTTACTCACATTAAAACTTGTTTTTCTAAGAAAGATTGTCTACACACAGTTTTTGAATAGCAATTAAAAATAAAGCAACTAACAAATAACACTGATTATAAGCAAGCATTTATATAACATATTACTTTATATAATGTAATGTACAAAGCACATACAGTAAATTTGTTTATCTCACCTGTTCAGCTATACCAGTAGAATCTGGACTATCAACTCCACTAGCTTCAGACTGGACGGACTGTAAAGGTGATGAAACCTCACTGCTAACAGCTTGATTTACACCAAGACGCTAAACAAAATTTAACAAATTTCATTTAATTATGATTTAACCACTCAAAAGATATATAACTAAGTTCTTCCTTTTATTTTCTAAAATCCAAGTTTATAAAAACACCAAATGAGCTAGTAGAAGGAGCATCTCAGTTTTCATTGGTCAATAATATCCCCAAAACTTTACACATACCCATGCAACAAATTTACACAACATATCAAGTGCCAATAGCAAATGTATTTCTTAATGACTCGATACCAAAAACATAAGTAACAGAAATTAATAAAGCTGTCTCAAACTTTAATATTTCTTGAAAACTGAAATATTACTTGTAATACTCCTATTGGAACATCCATCTATACTTAACATTTTATGTAATGATTAGTACAGTTTTTAAGATAAACTATTATAACAAGAATAAGGGAACTTTTGGGTATTTGTGGAATTAGAAATAAATCTTCAGAAGAGATACATATATCCTTTAAGAAACACATCAATTACAAGTGAAATCTTGGCTCTACTTCATAATAGCCAATCTTAACAACAAAGAGTTGGTAAAGTTTAAGATATATTTCATTATTGTTCTTCTTATTGATGGTAAACTGTATTATTAACATAGCTAAACATGAGCAAAGGAATAACTTGCTTTTAAAAGTTCTTGTCTTTGTTGACGACGACGCTGAATAACAGCTTCCTCATCTTCTTCCTCCTCTTCAATATCTATATCATCAATTCTGTGCACAAAATAATGAATCTTAACTGTAGAAGAACATTTTACTACTCTATCTAACAAAGTTAGTAGTCAACACTCAAAACTAGCAAATAGAGTTTGGTTGTTATAAACCTTTCTTTAGAACAAAAACTGAAATTAACAATAAATTTGACAAGCACTCTAACTTTTTAATTACTAGGCTAAAAAGAAATGACTAAGTTATTTTTTTATTTTTAATATTATGTTTCCTACACACAAATCATGGTCAGCTACCAACAATACTTAAAAACAATCACATTAAAAACAACAACAACAACAAAAAACAGTATAAACAATGTCTTAGGAATCCCAAATCCAACATTGACCTATACAGTTGAAAAGAGCAACCTATCTTTCCATGAAATTTCACACTTATTCTACACATATTTCTGCACTACACTGTTAAGTTGTGGCAACAAAGCTTTTTGCTTAATGGAGATATAAGCAATAAAGTGAAGGCCACATGCCATTCCCCTCACGAAGCATCCCACTTACAAAAATTGTTGTAAATTCTCTCTGACATTTGCTACTGCATTATAAATAGTAACCAATAAAAACATAGATTTCAATTTACTGACATTTGTGGAGCCTCAAGTTCTTGGTATAAGCAGATTTGAACATTTTGGCATTGCTTTTTTTTTATTTGCCACTGTTGGAGCTCTGCTTTACCAGATATGGAAATTATTTAAACCATTTCTAGCTTAGCTAGAAAGCCAAATAAATTAGTTCAAGGACACACTATTTTATACAAATGACAATAATTCATATTCTAAATTGCATATTTGATTTTTTTAAATTAATAATGCTTTCTAAGACCACATTATCATTACTAAATGTTAGGGCTAATCTTTGATGTTGAGTTCTATCATATGAGTGCAAAAGCTTGAAAAAGACAAAATTTCAGATGTAAGTACTAAGTTTCTTGATTGTTTGTTGTTATAAAAGTAAATAAAACATAAAAATTGAAACCTTACTAGGTTAGATAAGGAAACTCAGAGGAAATTAAATATATACTCATAATGAATGATAATGTGTCCAGTGCAAGTTGGTAACTGGATTTGTTGTTTACACAAAGCTGTCCAGTATAATAAGTATAGCTGTTGTTGTTGTCTAAGAGAAAGTAAGTGCCACTGTAAAGCCAGTTAACATTCTCTCAGTTATAGTTATTAATTGACTGCCAAGGTTTCTTCCTTTGCCCATCTAAGCATTGGTCTGATTTTTTCTTGCTTGCTCCAGTCTTTTACACCCCACTTAATTGTCCTTGTGATATTTGTCTCATGACACTCCCTACCTACATCAATGCACCCTCAATCCTGATATTGTATATAAGCACCTCATTCAGATAATGTTGTCACTTTTTTGAGACTGACTCCATCCCAGTCTCTAACACAATCTCTTAGTGGGGAGGAAGGGCAGGAGAGTGTCATCAGAGGTAAGTATTATTGGAAATACATTTTTCAATTTAGGAAAATGTTAACTTTCCATACATACATACCTCCATTCCCATTTATAGCTAGAATCCCACATTTACAAGGTTGAGAAGTGTCCACACAGAACATGGGTGTGTCAATAGAAGATTGGCACCCTATCGAGAGAGCTGCACTACATGCAGAAAAGGTGTGCTCTTCATCCTGAACTTAATTCCTGTATTGTGGGTGGAATTGTATATGAATGATCATCACTATAGGCCAGCCCTAAAAAGATAGCCGAGATTCCACTTCTTGGGGTTGGAATTAAGGGGTCTTGGTCCCTATATTACACGTTGGTGGCTAGGGCAATTGGACCGCAACGTTATACCTATACATACTTATGAGTGGATCTCAACCTGTAGCCATAGAGTGATGCATTCCAAGCCACTGGAATCACAATGGGAAGTAAACACCACCAAAGTGGAGAAACCTTCTCCTCCACCTGAAAAAGCCTGAAAGGCAATGCCCCAGGCTCATAACGACAGGATCGTGTATGCCTTACTCAACCTAAGGAAACAGAACTCATCTGGTCTGGAATTATGAGCATTCATTCCCACTCCTCAATCTTATGAGCAAGGTACATTCTACTTGCTCCCGGAATTATGGGGAGGACATGAAAGAACTGTGCTTAGGGGGGTAGGCAAAAACTCTCAGATCAAGAGACTGCCAGATCAGGCAAATAATGTTAAGATAAAGGTATTGGGGAGATCCATTTTTTCACAATGAACTCCACTGGGCAATATGACTGGGCCACTAAGGATATAAAAACATGACAAATATGATTAGATGTGACTTGAAGAATCCTTGCCTTCAAAGACAGCTCAGAAGAAAAGTCATTATCTAGCATCTTTAATGGCATTAGAGGAGGCAACAAAACCTTCAAGGCCCTCACTGAACATGATCATGATTGAAATCTTATTGAACAAAGAAGTGAGAAATAATGAATAGATGAAAAGGACTTTAACCCCTTTCCTGTCTGACAGTATCTTGGGTAAGATGAACTGGTCTGAGGATGTAGAGAGAATGAGAAAGTGGTCTGTGGACAAACAGCGCAAATCACCATGACCGGGGATGTCTGTAGGTCAGCAATTACGAAAAATAAACCTTGAAGTAAATTTTCTTTTTCCTTTAAAGACTGTGTTGATTACCACTGATTGGAACAACATTTTGTGAGGTAACTTTGTTTGTTTAGAGCAAAGCAATGTAGGAGCATCCACCGTACCCACCAGAGGCAATTGAACCTCAGCACTATGACTCCACAAACTCACTACTGTCCCACAGGGGAACTGAAAAACCAACAGACTAAAAGAAGGTGGAAGAAAAAGCAAATCGAAATTCTCTCTAGAATGTCAAGGATTCCCCTAATTTGCTGCCTCAGAGCCCCCAGGAGATCCACCACAGATCCGAGTATATGTCTCCATCTCACTAGCAATAAAATCACCCCTAATATGTATGCATATATATATATAAATATATATTCTTTTTTTAATACAGGGAACACATACTCTTCTTCAGATGAGGACTCTTCAACTTCATTACGAGTTCCCCTCTTGTCTTCTTTCTCCTTTTCTGTTTCACCCCGTTGACGTTTCTTTTCCCTGTTACGAGAGCTATCTGTACGTCGATCTTCTCCGCTGGATAGAAAAATTAATATAAAATTCCTGAAACATTACTTTACGTTATAGTATGACTAAGATATTGTAAAAATTATAGAATTAAACTAGTTTCAAAAATTTCAATTCTGCTTTCTTACAAGTTGATTATGCAAAATGAAAGGCAATACTGATGAGTTTCACAAACTTGTATAACAAAAAAATTTCCTTGGAATGTCAAACTCCTAACAAATTTAAACTACACAAAACTTCAAATAAACTTAAAGTGACAAAAGGTAATTAATGAAAAAAATTAGAACTATGTCATAATGACTATCATAAAAATGATAAAAGAGCTAAGGAAAACAAACTACATTGTGAAAAGTTAATTTCATAAAATCTACATAAATAAATGTCAATATGTGTGTGTATATGTTCCTTATACATTTCCACATTTCTTGTTCAATCAACACCAAACTTGACACAGTGATACAGGATGACATGATGAATGTCATGAAGGGGGGTTGAACTCCCATCTAATTTCAGAAAAACACTGAATGTTACAAAGTTTTAACTTAATAGTATTTTATCAGGGAATGCTTCTGGTAGAACCTAGATATTTTAAAATCTACTGTGCCAATCAAAACTTACCTATTTTTAGGTCTTTCTCTTCTATTGCTCCTATACTCCTGAGCTGATAATCTGCCAGTGTTGCGCAAAGGACTTCTATTTCTTGAATTATATGGGCTTCGGCTTCTTTGAAAATTTCGCTGTTTTGGACTGTGGTGTCTTTCTGGTGTTTTAGCTCTCAATTTTGTGGGTGTTCTACTGTGTCTTGATGGCTCATAGGCTGGACTTCTGCTACGTCGTCTCGACTGATACACTGGGCTTTTGCTACGTCTTCCTTTCTGGTATACTGGAGTTCTGCTACGTCTTTTTAGTGGGTATACTGGACTTCTACTACGCCGTGCTTGTTGGTATGATGGACTCTTGCTACGTTTTCTTTGCTGAAATGCAGGACTTCTGCTATTTCGTGTTTGCTGAAATGCAGGACTTCTGCTACGCCTTGGAGGTTGGCGAAGGGGTGACTTGTGCCTTCTAGGTGACCGAGATCGTCTTCTGTCAGAATTGGAGAATCTTGGAGATCTATTTCTTGATGAGAGTGCTGCTTCTCTTTTAACAATCCTACAGTTCCCAAAATAAGACTTATAGCACACTCTTACTGAATAAAAATAAGTCAGGCTCAAAAACACACTAATTAAAAAGTACACTGATGCATGAGAATGACTAGCTCATGTTATCTACACATTACGTGATAAAATTTTGTCAGAAATATTTAAACTTAACAGAATTGTTCAAATATGACTGCTGTTAAAAAATTTTACCAATCTTTTTAAAAATATCAAAAAAAGACAAAGAATAAGTTCTTAATTGACAACACATTATACAAATTCAGCAGAAACAGGCATTGTTATGGAAAACATGTATATATCTTACATATGAACATAAATAACAGTCACAAGTAAATGGCTGCTGATAAAGTCTATGCCTTGTCCCTATTAAATTTTAATGTTTATAGTAGTTAGCTCATAGTCAGATATAAGCATATTTATACTATAACATTTTAAGGTGGTCGGTGGAGACACATCTAGCCAAAAAATACCTACACCAATTCAATGAAGAAAAAAGTTCTTTGTGCTACAGCAAGTACAAATGCTCACTTTTACTTTATATCATTTGCTTAATCTACTTAGGTTAATATTTCAATTTCCAAATGTGTCTAAATTTTTTGTCTAGAAGGCAGTTCTTTGATGTTTACATTCTAACCTCTAGTGAAAAATACAATTTGTCAGCATTTAAAAAACATAATCAGACACCATTTTTTTTAAATGCCAAATAAAATCTTAACACTTAACGAGGTATACAGTTTCATTCCCAGAACAAAATGTTTTAAATACTACTATTTATAACCTAAACATTTTGAAATGTAGCAAAAACAACTTGAAGCAATATTCTTTTGAGTAATAATTTTTTCACATAGGAATTGATCATATGTTTAACTAAGCATAAATTATAATGAAACTTTCTTCAAGTAACACTTCACTATTCACAGTTTTTCACGTGAATAGTTCAACATTGACTACTTCAACAGACTCTACAGAAGTCTGATAAAAGACCTTCAGTGAGGTGATAAAACTTAAAATATGCAATGTTATTCAAAAGAGGAACAGTGATATAATGTGTATATGTACTTACACTGGTGATCTACTTCTATGTCTAGGTGACCTGTCACGGTGGCTATGGTCAGAAACATGTCTTTCACGCTTGTCTTGATAGCTCTTAGATGACTCTGAATGTCTTTTCTCAATCCTACCTAATGAAGAATCTTTAAACCTCTTTTCTTCTGTACTAACCATGTGATTTAAACTATGTTTATCTCTAGATTCGGGTGATTTTTCCTTCAGACGATGCTGACGAGAATCTTTCTCTCTCTGACGAATATGTTGTTCTGGCACGTGCATATTTTTTTGTTGATTTTTATTTCCTTCAACTTTTACCTGTTTAACCTCTTCTTCATCAGAACTTCCATAAAAATCAGGAACAAGTGATTTTTTTGCATATACTTCTTCATCAGCAACTTTAGCAAGTTTGGCTTCCAATAATCTTTTTTGTCTTTCTAGTTCTTCTAAGTCCATATGATTAACACGCAAATTTTCCTCAACTGCTGGACTAGAACTTTGCCTTCGTACAACCACATCATTCTCGTGACATTCTGGATGATGACGTTTGTGTTTATGTTTATGACCACTTTTCTTTTCCTTACGTGAAGAAGTATGCTTGTGTTTATGTTTGTGTTTATGCTTCTTCTTGTGTTTCTTAACACTAACTACTTCTGGCCCACTGTCTAGCGCAGAGCTGTTTTCTTGAATCTCCTGGACAGAACCACTATCACTGTCACTGAAATTGAACAAAAGAAATATAGTTACCAAAATGCCCACAAAAGATAACTGGAATTGCAAATAGTTGAATGTTGTACTATGTTCAACATTTAACTACATGTAACTCTTGATCAGTAATAATAATTGACTCTAGAATTACAACAAATAACCTTACTTGGCTCTGTATTTTTGTACCTTTTAAGGCCAGATCTATAGTATTATTATTTATACATAAAACAATAACACAAGTGTCATTTGTAAGTCACAGGATTCAAAAAGGATGGATTTTAACCCTATGCATATAAATAGGTCAAAGTGTGCATGTCACATCCTTTTCAGAGGTACATTCAAAATTTAATTGAACACTTTTATTATCAATGTATGTCAATAAACTTGACATCAAGATGTAGTTTATAATAGAATTTTTTATATTATCTATGTCTTAATTTTAAAAGGAAGTATTTAAAAAAATTCTTAATCTTCATTTGAAAGTGTCACTATGTATCTACATTCTGAATGCTTCCCTTCATATTTTACACCTTGAATAACACAGCTTCTACAGTGTTCAACCAATTAGAAACACAATCTCTATGTAATTACCAGCAAGAATATAAAATTTGAACCTTTTATTTTCTGTATTCAAAGAAGAAAATGTTTTAACAACAATTATATTTCATATTTTTAAACTTTACATTTTACTGCACATCGATGATTTCACGACACTTAGTATTGTGTTTGAGAAAGTAAGAGATATAAAGTTTGTCCAAAAAACAAGCTTTTGATATTCATTAAGGAAGTTCTTGAAGTTATGAAAATCACCTTTCACTCAAACTTACTCAGTAAAGGCTTCATAAATTTACAGACAAATCTTTAAGAAAAATACTGTATTAAAAAACTGATTTTCTTGTGTACAACAAACTTGTCATGTTTACTAAAAGCTTGCTAAATTTTGTGAAGATACACACAGAACAGTTACAAAGTCATACAATCTGACTGAGCCTGTATACAGAGTTACAATCATTTTATTTGATATATAATCCAAGCAGAGATAGGTAATATAATCCATTACCTATGAACAGCAATTAAATCAGTTAATGTTCCATAAACTAATCAATGAATCAAAATTATAATTATTGGATTCATGTCACAAAAATAATCAACAAATCAAAATTTTGGCTTTTGATTATTTCAAATATCCAATGCATGTTGCCATTACATCTGTTTGTTGTCAGTTAAAAGTTACATAATGCCCCTCCCTCCCCCAGTGGCTCAGTGGTGTGAAGGCTTATAACTTAAAAACTGGGTTTTGATACCAATGGTGGAAACAGCACAGATAGCCCACTGTGTAGCTTTGTGCTTAACTATAAACAAACATGTGGGGGGACCTTCATGTTTTGAGTGTCTCGGGTTTGAGTTCTATTGCCACAAAATTTCCTAGTCATGACTTTTTTTATTGCAAAGCTACTAAGACTATCTACCACTGTCAATAATTTTGAGCTGCTAACTAGAAGGAAGGAAACTGGCTGGTTACACCCACCACCAATTCTCTGGCTACTCAAGCATTAAATAAAGTGTACATTTACTGTTTTTGAAACAGTGTTATGTTTCTAATTTACAATTGTATATCTGTATTATTTAACAATATTTAAGCAGGCACAGATCAGGAGGAAGGGCTTAAGGAGTCCAGAAATTAATAACTGTATTCTTTAATGCTGTATAAACAGGCGTGGATCTAGTTGAGGGGTCCATGGGTCCCAAAAGAACTTTGAAGAGAAACAACACTGAAATATCAAACATGCAAGTCTATAAGACAAAAAGATACAAAAATAAAACCTACTCTGAAGAACATGAGAATAAAAGTTTGACTCAAACCTAATCTCCAATGTGATGAGACTAGTAGTAAAGAATAAGGAACTCACAAACTAAATAATATTAACAGTGAAAATAAGTAAACATTTAAACAAAAACAAAGGAATAATCAAACTCCAAATGTAAATTTAAACTAATGTAACCTAGATGGCAAAAGAAGTTTAAAATCAATTTACCCAAGAATGAGTAGAGAAGATATGAAATACCTAAATTATCCACAGAAGCTCACATAAACTCACTGAACATGGGTATACCTACAAGGAGTGAGAAATACACTCTGAAAAATGTACCACAGATATCCTGGGAAAAAGAACAAAACATAATGCAGCAAATTACATGAAGGCACAGTAATAGGTGGAAAGGGCCATAGAAAGCAAATTTCTACACAGAAGTTATAACCCTCTTCATAAAAAACATAATACGAAAGGAAAAATTGTCATCCGAACATAAGACATGAACTCCCTGCAAACTAGAGCCTGTGCTTACCCATAGATATTGTTGACTCCGAGATCTGGGGACGAGTGTTAGAACCATTGTCTAATTATGGCAGAAATTATATTATCCGCCATATTAAATCTCAAATTCATAAGAACGAAGCAGAATTCAGAAAACAGAAATATATCTAACACAAATGAGTAGAAACAATAGAAATCGTAACTTGAAGTTGAAAGTGATATAAATTTGTGATCAAGCACAATCAAAATTTTGTAGTCACATAGAAAACCAGTTAAAAACACACATCTCTACACTAGAATGCCAATCGAGAAAGTGAGGATTATGCTGGAAAGGTAGAGGGAGCTACCTGCACAAAATTAAAGGTTATAAAAGACTGGTATGCTATTGGATATTTTAGCAATGCTTAGAGGGCAAATGAAGGTGGAGATAGTTTTGGGTTGTAGGAGGTAGTACTGCTTTGGAATAATCACAATTGACCAAATCAGGTAAGTTTACTGTTTTGAGAGTATAACAGGTGATTGCAAAATACTGTGATGACTCAAATTTTTATTAAAATTTTCATGTTTATCCTATTCAAACAATGTATATAAATACATTTAACTTCCTACTTAATTATTTGTAATTACTATTGTTATGTTTTAAATAAAAACATTATTTCAAACAATGTATATAAATAAATTTAACTTTCTACCTAATTATTTGTAATTATTATTGTTATATTTTAAATAAAAACATTATTACCCTTAAAGCATATTTGATCAATGATGATCAAATGTTGGTATTCAGTCGATATCAACAATTCATCTGCCAAGTGGGAAACGGCCATAAAACTCATGTGAAAATTTTTTATTTTTTTTTGATAAAATAATTTTTTTTCTCACAATTGTGCAAATGGCTACCTTCAAAAGAGGTCAGTCATATGAAATCAAGGATAACTCAGTAAGTACTTTGAAAAAAACAAAAAAACAATGCAAAAGAAAATATACAAAGATTAAAATCCCATTAGAATAATGCAGTAGTTAAAAAAGTTAAGACAGAAAGCACATAACTGTTTTGGCTTTTTTCTTTTTTTGTTTGCATGGGTTGTAGAGAGATTGTTGTACTAATTAATTAATCAAATGTAATTGATTAGTAAGCCTGTCCATTAATCAATTAGCAAATACCACTAATCACCCAGCTCTATATCCCAGTACCTGAAATATTAGTCCTTGTTGTAAGCAACCTTCTATTAACAAATCTTACAGACTGTTATCATATCCTCTATACTTTGTACTGCTTTTAAGTTTAATTCTTGAATTTTTCAGAGCATTACTAAATTCCTGTTGTGGTAAAATCATAAGACAACATATTTTATTTACATATGTATGAAAACATAAAAAAACAAACATTTCAGTGTTCACACCTGGAGACACAGATAAAGTAACCCTTTACAGACTGGGTGGGTATCACTGATGACCCTTGATTTTTTCCTTCTTATAGTGGAAATACAATATTTATTCTCTGGGAGATTGTTTAGGCAGAGTATTCATGATAAAACTTTGTAGAATGGATGGTAACTGCCTGTTGTACAGACATAAGTGTAGAGGATGATGTTTTGAAAGTCTTCCGCCTTTCACCTAAAGATTAGAGGTGAGTAATCTGTGGCTACCATTCATGTAATTAAAATTAAGTTGACATTACTAAATATAAATTGCTTATTACTTAATTTTAAATTTAACTTTTTTAAGATTTTAAACACTGCTGCTAAATATTAAAGTTATTTCAAATTTGGAGGACAGGAATTGTTCTAATCCTGGCTTATACTTTTTTATGCCATAGCTACACAATGTTCTTAGAAAACAACATGAGCAAGAATCTGACATCTGTCAGAATGTACAAATGAGAGTACGAGTAGACGTCACACAATCAGCTGCACAGCCTCAAGGGTAATGTCGACCACCAGTCACTATGGCTGGGAATTAACCACTTCCAGACAGGTCATGGGTGAAAAGCCATGTCATCACGTTTATTGACTCACATTCAAAATTTTATTGAACTACTATTTCATGAATTTAGGTCAATTAATTTGGTATCAAACTGTAGATATAATTCAAATTTTAGTATTATACATTACTCAATTTCTTAATTTAAAAGTAAATATTAAAAAACACAATTAAACATCGATTTTTGTGTGTCATGTGGTATGGTGAATGCAGCCCTGGTTCAAATTAGATGTTTTGATATCAAAATACAAAGTCTATAGTTTTGTAAGAATTATGAACTCAAATTACCAATACTGATAAGCTAGAATATAAAATAAGAACCTCTTATCTTTTATATTTGTTAGGATATTGCTCATGTAATAAGTCAAACACAGTGGCACCTTGGTCATCTCTTTCCATTTTCGGAAATGCTCCATTATATACACTTACTTCTATATATGACATGAATAACCAATCAGAAGCTCAGAATGTCCCCTAGTGGTTTTCTCATGTCTTTCTTTTGAACCAAGATTTCAAGGTGGTAGGTTGTGTCTTTAGTGTGCTCAAAATTTCATATTCTGTTAGACTGAAATACAGCTTAGTTACTATGCTTGATAAATTAGTGGAATTCTATGGTAAAGATATAGTAATTTAGGATTTTCTGGTTATTCT